CGGTATCTACTGGCCACCTGCAAACAGGAACCAGGGCAAAATTTCGATCAATTCTTTCAGAAGCTCAAATCTTTAGCCAAAGATTGCAACTTCAAGGCCGTAACGGCTGAACAAAATCAGGATGACACCATACGAAACGCCTTCATAAGCGGGATGCAGTCAGGCGTTGTGAGACAGCGTCTTCTTGAAAACAGATGTCTGGACCTACCGACCGCCTTAGAACTAGCTCGATCACTTGAAATGGCACAACAGTCTAATGCTTTTCAGACACCACCAATGTCGTATACAGCAGTAGCTTCAGGTTCATCTGAACCAAGAGAAATTCCCTAGTAAGATCTCAAGAAAAGCAACAGCCCACCTGTGCAAACGTCAGCCGCGATCAAAACCAAATGTTATTTTTGCGGAAATGACAGACCCTTGTTTTAAATGTCCAGCTAAGGACGCAGTTTGCAGTAATTGTGGGAAGAAAGGACATTTCGAACGGGTTTGCAGATCGCTCCCGGAGAAACCATCAACCTCGGCTACTATGCTTGCTCTCTCAACTACAGTCTCCGTTTCCGCTTCGGCTTGTCTCGCTAACTCACTGGTAAAAATCACTGTGAATAAGGTCCCCGTTAGAGCTCTAATAGACGCCGGGAGCTCTGAAAGTTATTTTTCCGAATCTTTCGTCAAACGACACCATCTGAAGGTCATACAATCATCTAGCACAATCTTGATGGCATCCAAGAGATTGTTTAGCCACACGAAAGGTCACTGTTTAGTCATTATAGAACTCAAGGACAAGTCATACGTTAATCTCAAACTCTCGGTCCTTCCACATTTGTGTGCGGATATATTACTGGGACATGATTTTCTGAAACTCCACAAAACAATTGAAATCCCGTTCAGGATTAACAGACCCCCTCTTTCTCTTTGTAACGTAACTGCTTCATGCATCAAACCGCCATCTCTCTTCGGGAACTTGCTGCCGGATTGTAAACCCATTGCAACCAAATCACGCCGCCACACTCCTGATGACGAGAAATTTATTCGATCAGAAGTTCGCCGACTTCTTAAGGACGGCATCATAGAGACTTCAACTTCACACTGGCGAGCACAAGTCCTTGTAACCACAAGTGAACGGCACACCAGATGCATGGTGGTCAACTATAGTCAAACTAATTGCTACACGCTGTTAGACGCTTACCCGCTGCCGCGACTAGACGAAATGGTATCTAAAATATCACGATACGCTGTCTTCAGTACCTTAGATCTACGAAGTGCATACCACCAAATCGCTATTGAAGCAAAAGATTGACCATTCACTGACTCTGAAGCATGCGGCAAGCTGTACCAGTTCTGTCGAATACCTTTTGGAGTGACTAATGGCGCCACTTGCTTCCAGGGGGCAATGAATAAGCTCATCCAGGAGGAAAATCTGTTGGGAACCTTTGCCCACATCGACAACATTACAGTGTGCGGACTGAACAAAGAAGATCACGACAAAAGTCTAACGATTTTTTTCAACGCTGTTAGAAAATACGGGCTTACTCTAAAAGAAGAAAAGTGTATCATTGGTACGGAAGAAATAAAACTCCTGGGTTACGAAGTCTCACACGGTTTGATGAAACCGGACCCTGAAAGATTGAAGTCGCTTCGAGAACTTCCACCTCCCAAAGATCTCAAATCAAAACTCCGGGCATCCGGTTTGTTTTCATATTACCCCCATTGAATTCCTCGCTTCTCGGACAAGATACGTCCCTTGGTACATAATAACACGTCCCCTACCAGAGGACGTCAGAATATCCTTTGGAATGCACAAAAGCGAACTGGAACACGCAGTCATCACTACCATCTATCCGAAGATACCACTATTCGTGGAAAGAGATGCCTCAGACGTAGCTATTTCGGCTACCCTCTAGCAGAGCCGTAGGGCGGTTGCATTCTTTTTCAGAACGCTATCTACAAGTGAACGGCATCATTCCTCTGTACAGAAAGAGGCCAACGCCATCGTCGAAGCCTTCCGGAAGTGGAGACACTATTTGCTTGGCACGCACTTCAGACTGATCACAGATCAAAAATCGGTTGTCTTTATGTTCGATTCGAGACACCACGGTAAAATTAAAAATGATAAAATTCAGAGATGGAGAATCGGACTATCATGCCACGGCTTCAATGCTATTTACTGCCTAGATATGAAAGCATGGCGGCTGACGCATTGTCTCGTAGATTCTGCTCAGTGTCCACATCACTCGAACCACTCAAACAGCTACATCACTCACTATGTCATCCGGGAATCGTGCGAATGCTTCATTTTGTTTGAACTAAAAATCTCCCTTACTCTGTCAATGAAGTTAAATCCGTCATTAGCGGCTGCTCAATCTGTGCCAGATGGACACCGCAGTTCTGTAAACTTCCTACGGAAAATTTGATCAAAGCCACCGCGCCGTTTGAGAGATTTTGATTTTAAAGGTCTTCTTCCGTCGGAATCTCGAAACCGATACTCGTTGACGATCGTGGACGAGTACTATCGATTCCCGTTTGCTTACAACTGTCCTGACTTATCAGCTGTTACAGTCATCTGGTGTCTCACCAATTTATTCTTGATCTTTGTTATGCCTTTCTACATACATTCTGATAGGGGGTTGTCCTTCATGTCCCAGGAGCTAAAGAATTTCCTTCAAAACAACGGTATTGTCTCCAGTAGAACAACAGCCTACAATCCTGGCTCAAACGAACAAGTTGAGAGACTAAACAGGACTCTTTGAAAGGCTGTCGTTCTCGCAGCGCAATTGAAAGGCTTGCCGTGTACTCAGTGGGAATCCGCTCTTCCGGAAGCTCTCCGCTCTATTCGATCACTGCTGTGTACAGCCACTAGTGCGACCCCTCACGAGCGATTGTTTTCTTATCATCGCAAATCTGCATCAGGGATCTCTATACCAACCTGGTTGAGTATTCCTGGACCTGTCTTAATGCGTCGCCCCTGGTTGACGAAGCTGAATTACTCGAATGTAACCCCAAATAAGCCCATATCCGTTTCTCAAATGGGCGAGAAGATACTATATCAATACACCACCTGGATCCCAGAGGTCAAGTCTCTGAGCCAACAACGGCTATATATCTAGAATCCAATGAATCCTCAATCCCCGAATGTGATTTTCAATCCCCCCCCCCTTCATACAGAGAGTACCAATTCTGATGAGACGAACATCACGAACATTTTCCCACCCCTTGTTCAAAACACAGATCCACACAATACAAAACTCGAGATACACCCAGTATTCAGAGCACAGCAGCGCACTCATCCTATAATTTGAGAAATCGGGAAGCATGAAACAATTTCGACATACAAAAATATCGACCAAAATTACCAGCGGGGGTGAATATTATGTTACACTCTTGTTTGTTGTTTCACATTACTTTGTACTCGTCACTCTAAATTTTCTCCTCATTCCTTTTCAGCCCCTGTCGTCCATTTGTATGTTGAATAAAGCCGAGATATCGGGCTTTTGTTTTCTCCCTGTTCAATGGCTGTTACAATCGTCTCCCACATCAATGCGATCGATTGAAGTGTCTCAAGATGAATCATTTTAAATATTTGTGGAAATGAATTTCAATCTACAAAAGTCATATGTCTGGAGTATATTTTAAACAGCCTTCAGTTTTACGGAATTCCTTCCCATTTTTTGATATTCTTTGTCGCAGTTTAGACACTTTTGAACAGAAGCTAGTTCCATAAGACAGAGCGAATATCGGCCAGACACCTTTGGTTTGGAACTCACCTTTCAAATACGCAGTGAACCTCTCCAATGGCACAGTTATTCGGTATCTGGCCCTTGTGGCTGTGAGTTGTTTATGTCCCACTTTGTGTGCTAGTCTCGGATTGAATACGGCGCATTCACCAGTGGTTGGCTCACCCCACCATCGAACACGAACCGAGAGCTCATCTGGGGGCTTTCTACAAGAGCCGACCCGTCGTTTGCCGGTCTGACAAGCACGGAACATGCTGATACTTAAATGTAAATAAGCTGTAGTGGGAGCATCGATCCCCGGAGGTAGATTTGTATGTACTTGTACCAGACATGGTGAACTGGGTTGAGCTCGCATATTCAACGTGTTATCTGACAAAAAAATAAAGACATTTCTTTTGTAGTAATTATGTGATACAGTTTATAGGAAGAGCAAGTCGTTTCAAGTGTTTGTTACAATCACTTTATTTGTAAATCGCATTTGAAATCCATGATTTCGATAAATCAACCTGTTCATAATTCTTGAGTAAACCAAGACAATTCGAAAGAAAAAATGGCCTGATGCGCATCAAGTTGTCACAAAAAGCTAAAAACTCCACTTCAGTTGTCTTGATAATAAATGAGTTGTACTAGTTGCTGAAATTTATCATCTGTGAGAGTTGAGATTTCGATCCGTCTTTCATCTAGACTTTCGATTTTTTGAGCTTTTGCGTTTAGGAGATGTGGTATAACACTTTCGTTGGTCACCAAAATTTGTTGGGATTTGGCTTGTAACGCAGGTACTTTTCCTAATGGATCACAATAATGATAATTGCAAGTATGATATCATTAGATTAATCCATCATTAGATGCATGAAAATAAAGCATTTAGAGACACTCAACACAACAATTCCAAGCAAACCTCGTACAAGTCTTACACGAATGTCACGAGAGACTAATAAAATCTTTGAGTACTAAATATTAAATTGTTACGGGGGCATTTAAAGACTATCATCCGTGGCATTCATGTATACTGTAATCGCTGTTTAGACAATTCATTAAATTGGAATTTTGTTGAGCCTACGAAAGCGTCAGTATCGTGGTGGTGAGGGTCTTGAGTTGTGGCTGATTCTGTTCTCCGATCATTCCTTCTTTACGAACTTGAATCCTTTGGCACTCCAAAACAACTGCTCTCATGGCTTGCTGACTACTTCACAGAGAGGGTCCAGTGCACCAAATTAGGCAGGAGGACACCAAAAACTCTTGTTAATAATTCTGGTATTCTTCAAGGTGCTGCTCTATCTCCATATCTTTTTTCTGCCTTGATTAATGATCTTTCGGTCCCACCCCCTATGCACATCCAAAAGTATGCTGATGACCTTGTTTTGTCTCGGGCAGTTTTATCTCCTTCGGAATTTCATTATTTTACTGAAAATCTATCCCACATTCAACAGTTTTCTGACCAACCTGGTCTCAGTCTTAACATATCTAAGTGCGTATAGTGTATTTTCAAACTTTCCCGCTCCTCATTTCCAACGGACTCTGCTATTCTTAACGATAAACCTGTATCTAGAATGACCGCAGTCAAGGACCTGGGCGTCACCATTGAAAGCAACCTTCGTTGGTCTACACATTTACAACTGTATGGGAAAACTGAGACGCCTATCTTTTCAGTTACACAAACTCAGGTAATTCCGAACCCCACATTCAGTCCTGTCCTCTTTCGTTCATCAATGCGTTTTACCAATTCTACTCTATTGCTCCACTGTAATGTTTCTCGATCTTTTAAAACGAGACTTCAAAACAATTCGCCGTGGTTTGATGATCATCAGTCGTGCATCATCAATTCCGATCGATTCACTAATCACAGAACTCATTGATGGTCACATCAATTCTTGTTTTAGATTTGCTCATAAGATTCTAGATGACCCTCTTCATCCACTACACCCTGATTTATCGTCTTACTGTTCCCATCCGTCCACACGCTCCTCATTTCGACAGCTACCCTCTCGCATTAACATTTATAAAAATTCCCCTGTACCCTACCTGGCCCGACTACTTACCAAAAAGGAACAGGTCCCAAATGATCTACGTCAAAACGTTTTTGTACATGAAACAAATATCACCGACATTATTTATCTTTCGCTTTTATTATTGCTATTGTTATTATTATTATTATTTCATGCTGCGTGACGAACAGTGTACATTTTTAATTAAAATGTGAGAATTTATGCTTACACATGTTATACAAATGCAAGTACCCCTGCCTTGCACATCACGAAATGCTCTTAAACAACCGAGCGTCTCGAATAGCCTCTGCTGAGGATGTCCTAATCACTGCCTTCTCGTAGCAGAGGTGTTTTCCCACAAAAGCGAGAGAGCGAAAATTTCAGTTTTCAGTTTGTTCAACCATTAACCATGCAATTTTGTGCGCCGGTTTTGGTGGCTGTATTTTGGCTGTCCATTTGGATGAACAATAAGAGAAAAACAGGAAAGTCGACGAGAAAATGGAGAATTTCAGTGGACCAAAATTGCAAAGAAACTGAGAATATTTATGAACGCCACTGATTACGATACGCAACCATACCATTGAGCTTCTGTAACCATTAACTACAATGACCCTGTAGTCCTCATCCACGGAGCCTAATGCGGCCTATATGACCGAGTTGCGTGGTTAGGGTTTTCATACCCATGTCTTATTTTTGCCACCATTTGCATTTTTCACCCCCTCCGTGCTTCAGCAAACATTGCCTGCTGTGGCAACCCGCTTGGTGACAAGCAAAACACGCTCCAACCAATGTAACCATGGGGGGGGGTTGATCACTTGCTATAGTTGGCGACCACGGTCACTAAAATCTCTGCTCTTTACCTTGGTATTATTTTTCCGTTTTCCTTACCAGACTCGTGTAAAATAGTCTAGACAGTGATGTTTGAACACCAACAGTCTATCTCTATCCTGTTCTTGCAATGGCCACGACTCTGCATTAGCCGAACTACAGCAGCGCACATTTAACCCTTGTGGCTGACTTTCTCCGAATACCTTTAAGGTAATGTACGCCTCTCACGTGCCAGCGATTGGTATATGGCAGTCCGGCATTATTTCTGTGTACAATTACAGAGACAACCAAAACAAAACGGGTGCAACGTAGCACCACACGCCTCATCGCTGAGATGTGTGTGGAATCAACTATGAACAATGCGTGCAGGCCACAAGACTATCCCCATTAGCTTAAGGGTGAACGAAAACAGATATTGTCTGTGCCAGAGGCAAATCCTTTAAACGCCAGCTCATCAAGAGTTTGAGGAAGCACCGCGAGAAGTGGTGAATAGGAAATTGTAGATAGATAGAGAATGCTGCGGCTATCGGTAATAGCTGCAATCGTTTTCGTTTAATTAGCAGTACGGGTCCAGGAAAGTAAGCAAGTGAGGTGATTAGGGAGGTTGATGACACACTGATTCACGTTCAGATATGCTGTCTTGAACGTTGAGCAGAACATTTTAAGACATTTCAGCTGGCCACCCACGACACAAGACCTCCCCATACATGCTTCAGCCGTGCAAACGGTGCCACTTGGCATCAGTCCTCCATCTGAAATGGAGGTTACCGGGAAAGTAAATTATCTCAAAAGGCATAAGGCTTCTGGCTAAAACGGGTTATCCCCATCGATTTTTAAGGATGGAGATCCGGCCTCGGTTTCGGAGTTCGCGAAACTCTTGAGCTTAGTGTGGGAAAGGCAACAAGTTCCAACTGAATGGAGTTAGTAGGTGATCATACCGATTTACAAGAAAGATGACAGGTCCTCTTGTCAAGACCACAGAGGCATTAGTATATTCAACATTTTCTTAAACTTATCGCTGGTATTATACTCCATTGATTGCCTGCCGTACGCGAACGGTGCGTGCTTGAGAACCAGGCTCAATTTAAATCTGGCCGAGATTGTATAGACCACATCTTTACTCTTCGTAAAATCTTAGAACACAGACACTCCTTTCGTAGACCCATCATTTCCACTTTCCTTGATCTGAATACGAAGTCTCACTCAGTCGACCGCTCAAACTCTGGCATTGCTCTGCTCTGAAGAGCTTGCCCGAGATGTTTATATCAATTTACAATTTCTTTATACTAATAGCCGAAGTCGAGTCCGGGCTTACGGCAAGTTTTCACCCGAGTTCGCTACATAAAGCGGTGTTCGTCAGGGTTTCCCAATCTCTCTGTTTTATTTAACTTCGTGATAGATTTACTTCTTAAAACAGCCCTATCCTCGTGTGAGAATAGCGGTATCGATTTACCCCCAGGTGGCAGACTGTCTAATCTGGATTATGCAGACGATATTGTGCTGCTAAGCAAAGGCCCAGGTAAGTTGCAAGCTTTTTTGGATAGCTTGAATGTCAGCGTAGCCGTGCTCGGTATGCGTTTTGCACCGTTAAAGTATAAAGTGCTGGTACAATAATGGGTTGGTCCAGCCCCAAACGTCATTCTAAATGGGAACGTAATGGAAGAAGTAGATGGATTTTGCTATCTGGGCAACTATATATCACCTGGCTGACGCATCACAGATGAAGTATCGCATAAAGAAGACTCGACTGGAATTTACCAACTTGAGACGTCTGTGGCGCCATCGCGACATCCGGTTGTCTGCGAAGAATCGAGTGTTTGCTGCAGCAGTTCGACCAGTGATGTTGCTGCTGCAGAGATTTGGCCACAACGGGGACAGAATAAAAATAGATTGTCAGTGTTTGAGCACCGCTGTCTACGTCGCACTGCATAGGTTTGGTGGGGAAACCGAACAAGCAATGCTTAGGTTAGGCGCAGAATTTTAGGTAACCGCGGTTCACCGCCGTAGATTACGCTGGTTGGGACCTGTGATGCGTATGTCACCAGATAGGTTTCCACGGCGAGCGATGTTTGTTGAGGCAGAAAGCGGTTGGAAAAAGGTCAAGATCGGTCAAAGTAAGACCTAGCATGAGGGTATGAAAACCCTAACCAGGAGTCTGGGTCATATAGGTCCCGTTAGGCTCCGTGCATGGGAACCCAAGATCACGATCACCAGTGGTTAGACACTAAGGCTGAGTGTCGCAAACAGTGGTATCTGTTCATTATTCTAGCCAACTCAGTCTAAATTATTCCTTTATCTTCCTATTGAGTTTACTCTCAACATTCCAATTTTCATTCTGATACCTTATCGAAAAGGTCAACCAAAATTAGAAAAACCAACACCGGCACACGAAAGTGCATGGTTAATGATTGCAGAAACTGAAATGAAACTGATACCATAAGCATAATCCTCGGAGAAGAAGGTGCTGAATATCAAGTGATTTTTCCTCTTCGAGATTACCATTACACAAAGAGACAGGGATGAAATCTAGCCAAGCAGCACT